TGTTAATGGTGAGGCATTTTGCCCCATGGCACAAGGAAGTACTCTAATTTAAGAGTGGGGTCTTTCCAAGTGGCAAGACTTGGGATTTGAGCTTCCTGTCCTGCTATTATGTTCTTGCCTTATCTGGTATCCTTTATCAAAGTAGGAGCAGCTCCTACATGTTAAGAATTTCCTATTATAGTTGAGAGGAAAATTCTGTCCCTTCACTAGTTTTCAGTCAAGATTTAGGCTGAGTCTTCTATCAGTCTTTATGGAGTGCTTATCTGGTGTCTTCTGCCTTGGCTAAGCCAATGAGTTTTAATATAAGCTACTAAAAGTCCTATCTGTCTAATTACATGAGTCTGAGCTATTTCCCTAACTCAGGCACTGAAATTTTTACTGATCAGCACAGATTGAGAACCTAAAGCTAGGTTTTTTATTAAAATTACTATGTCATCACTATGACCAAAGTAACTTATAAAAGAATCTATTTACTAGGACTAATAGTTCCAGAGATAACGGTCCATGAACCTCATGGCAGGCAACAAAACAGAAGGCAGGCAGTCCTGTTGTTGGAGCAGTACAGAGAGCTTACATCTGATTCACACCAGGGGGTAGAGAGAAAGAGAGTTAATTGGGAATGATGGTGAGCTTTTGAAACTTAAAGCCTGCCCTCAGTAATATGCCTCATCCAATAAGGACACACTTCCCAATCTTTCCCAAATGTGTCCACCAACTGGGAACCAAGCATTAAATACATGAGCTTGTGTGGAACAGTCTCATTCAACCTGCCATATAGGTATAAAGAAAAAATTTAAAATATGATTTGGGGATTCTGGGGAGATGCCTTTGTAGGTAATAAAGCAAACAACTTCAATGCAGATCCCCGACACACTTAAAAACTGGTAATCCTACCATTAAGGGGTTGTGCAGGTGAAAGTCTGGACCTCCCTAACCATTCTGAATAGGTAAACAGTTGCAGTTTAGTGAGAAACACTATCTCAAAAACAAAGGTAGAAAGCCTTAGAGGAAAGGAGCAGCATTGTCCTCTGGCCTCTGCATACATTCACATGGAAGCAATACACACACATGGGCACATTTACCATGCAACACACACACATACAATAAAGAAGTAAATAAATAATAAAAATAGCTCCTGAATGCAATCAATCATATAGGAGAAATAAAAGGCTAAGCAGAACACTGCTAGTGGGATATCCAAGTGGTATAGTACAGCAAATCAAACTAATTGTGCCAGCCTCGAAATGTACCTTCCATAACACTGTAGTATTTTCCAAAAGGAAGGTTACTTATATGTTCAGTTCCTTTATATTTAAAGTCAAAGCAAAAGTATGAAATTGGGATGCTGCTACCAGAAACACACTTGTTTATTATGCTATCCATAAGTGTGCAGTCTATAATATTCTGACAGAGTGTCTCAAGTAGAAAGGCTGCACTAAAGCCAGAAACTCACACTTATATCACCTTTGCACATTTTCTTTTGTATAATATGACTACGAATCTCTAAATTGACTAACAAAGAAAACTACAAAGTGGGTATTACCTTGATATTATTTTTTGCCAAATATCAGCAATATTATTTGGAAAGTTATAGTCTACAAAACAGAAACCTAGTGTTCATGCAGACCATTGAAAACATTTCAGTAGACAATGCTGTTGTAAAGAATAGAAACTTAACTGTAGCAATCACTTTAAAATGGGCTTTAAATATGAAATAAGCTACCGTTATACAAGCCCATCTATCATTTTTATTTTTCTGTCATTTGTGTGTTGGGGGTGTAGCTACCAAATGCCTTTAAATAAAAGGTTTCTTAAATTTTCCTTTCTTAATTTGGTTGGTTATGTTTTTGTTTCCTTAATTATCCCATGGACTTGTGTACAAGCTCTCCATGCATATAATATTTGTGTTTAAAGGAATATATACATAATACATAATAATGAGAAAATTTTGCTATTTTCCCCCTAAGTTCTTTCACTTTTCACATTGCCTTATTAGTGTTCTATCAGTATTCCTCTTGCACATTCATATTCTGAGATGATAGTTTGTCAGTTCTTTTTATTTTCCAATTCCATTGCAAAACTTACGTATACATATACAAGTGTGTGTTGGTTAAAGGTATTTTATATTTACACAAATGCATATTTAATATGTGTGTGCATTCATGCATCTCTACATGAATATGTGTAGTGTAAAAACAAATAGGCAAACACAGTGTTTGGAAATAGTGTTTATTTCAAATATGTTTCATGTAATAAATGTAGGTTAAAGTCTTCCATGTTTATGGGAAGCATAAACATACCATTCATTTATTTATATTTATCATTTAGTGGCAAACATATATAGCAATCATTGCCACCAGTGTAAATTAGCACTTAATTAACCCCATCTGTGGAGACCCAGGGCAAACACAGGATGTGTGTTTAGGATTATTTCATCTTTAATTTCTACATTTTGCTTCACTTTGGTTGGTACGGTTTGTGGTCCTCTGGAGGTGTCTTGATCCCTCTGAAGGCCAGCTTGATGAACTAGGTCAGAAATGGTTGATTAGACCAATGCCTTCCTTGTATTCACAGGCTGCTATTTTGAGTTCATTTTCTATGTTTATGATTTTTGAGAAGGAAGCACGTTTACCAAACGAAGACTTACAGTTTGATTATGCAGCAGAGTGCCAACTCTGTTCTTTACTGCCAAACAGAAAATTGAAACAAATATGCAGGCAATTTGAGACAATGGACTCCTTTTCTTCATTTTGACCTGACTTTGTGACATGCTCAGTAGATTTAGCAACATTTCATCATCTTGAACTAAGACTTTCACTTGCTGAACTCACTGATTGTTAATTTACATTAAATTTATTTGTATTAAATTGCGGTCGAGAGAGTTCACTTACAGGCTAGCCCTATGCTTCTACGATCCAACATGTGGGTCCAGAAAATCAAACATGGGTTATTAGGTTTGGTGCCAAGCACCTTTATGGGCTGAGCCATTTCATAGGACACGATGGCCACTGATTTATGGTAACTGTAATCAAATTTTCTGATGGCCATATATAATTAGATGTTCAGTGAATTGCCCCCATGTGGAGATCCTTAAAACTTAGTGCAGTCAGTTCTTCAGGCAAGATGACTTCCAGGTGGATCTTATTATGTGACCCTACTTTTGTTTTCTTGCTCTGTCAGCTGCATCTTCCTAAGACATTGTGGGCTTGGTGAAGTGCTTGGATGTTACCAGCAGAGAAGCTGATCCAATGTTCAGTGCCTTTACTTATCCATTTTGACCACCACATCATTGTCCAAGTAGTGTGAAGAATAATACTGCACAATAGACTTTTGACAATTGTAAATAAAATAAAGTACATAAAATAATTAACCCACTACAGTGCTGCTCAGTCTCAGTATTGTTTCTATTCGGTACTGACACATGTTTGTTGAACTAAGAAATATTAGTTCTGAAGCACCCATACATATAATAGCAGTAGAGTTAAGTGACAGTTTGGTGTAGTGGGAATGATTGTGCTACTTTCAAAATGCTAATTGATCAGTTTTTACAATAACTTCATCTTTCCACAGAATTTAATTAAATCTCAGTAGATGAAGAGTATAAAGTTATGATTAACTTTTGAGGCCATACTTAATGATATAATTACTTCCTTTGAGTTTGAAAAGATATAAATTAAATGTTTCTGAGAATTTCAAAACATTCTGCAGCTTTATTTTAAAGTTTCCCAACCTATGCACTCTTGTGAAGGACTCATAATTATCACCCATAACCATGACTCACATTTTTATGTTTTTAAATTGAACTTATACAGCAGAAGAAGGAGATGAGAGTAGTTTGTGTAAGCTACTTATAGGGTTCCTTATGGCTAAGCATGCTTCTCATTCTTCTACCCAATGGAACTTATCATATTTTGAGATATGTTCTGTGTCCAGACAAATACAGGGAGAGTTAAGTTGCAAGGACATATGAAATTAACACCAAAATTCAAAATGCCTAAAACTTCTGAGGTTTTTTTTTATCATATTCTTCAGTATCTTTTCCAGGTGTATTTTTTGATAGTTATCTAACTACTGATACTAAATGATTTAATATGTAATTGCACTATTCTTATTTTCTTTTTTTTTCTTTGTGACTGAATCATAGTGAATTCTCAGAGTCCTTATGATTTATCTTAAACACAGTAAGTTTTACAATGTCTGATTTTTGTTGACCAAACAAATTTACCTTGCATCTTAAACTTCCCTAAACATGATGAATTGTGTTGAAACTTTGATATGTTTTCTGTTGATAATGAACATGCCAAACAGTAATTTTCAGTCATTAAAATCTAATTAACAAAAACCAAAGGTATTTCTATAGTTGTGACCATTGCATCAGTTAACTTTCTATTAAAACATTTCATAATTAATACACAAAATTATTAGAATGCCTGTACTGTCCTGAAAATTTCCTTCTTCTGGAATTGAATATTTGATAACTTGTTATTTACAAACTATTTTAGGGCTGAAACATTTAAACATACCAAACGATACCTCATTACAAAAAGAAAAATCTGTTCAGGATCAAAGGTTTTGTTATATTTATTTGGCATAAAACTAATGAACGAACTTTAGCATTAAGGAAATAAGTAAATAACTACTGGATGAAAATCAAGCAACACATGCACACATATGCACATACACACTCTTCATATTTTGATTTTTAAAATTTTGAATGCCACTTGTTTCTGCTAAAGCAGTCTTACTTTGATGGTGAACTTGATCACATTCATTTTCTTCCTAGTTGTTAAACCAAACTAAACATAAGCCTAGTGAACGCTGGTGCCTAATCTTCCATTCTCTTAACCAGTAATAAAGAACCTTGCCAATATGACAGGTTGTCACAGCAATTATTCAGAATACCTTCTGTAGCAGTACTATCTATCAGCCCATGCAGAATTGAATATTTTAACTGGCAGTCTTCCAAGACTGAACATTAATCTTACCATCTCCTATTACAGTCCCTAATCAAGATATTCCAGGGGTGATTGCACTAACATTGTTTGAAGACTACATCTACTGGACTGATGGGAAAACCAAGTCACTCAGCCGTGTCCATAAAACCTCGGGAGCAGACAGACTTTCACTGATTAACTCATGGCATGCCATCACAGATATCCAGGTGTATCATTCTTATAGACAACCTGATGGTAATTATTCTTTCCATGATTTCCATAATGCATCAACATCTTCAAGAAAAATTTCATTTATTTTATTATTATTTCAGGTTTACTTATAATTTCATTCTTGACAAGAATGATCAGATTTCATTATTTAGCTTTATTTTATATAAAGTGCTACTAAAGCAGGGTAGGATTAGAAGCTCAATAATAGCACAAATAATTATTGAACTTTTCAAATATTAAGCTGAGTTGTGAGCAATGCATGTAGTCAGAGAAGTGCAAAATATATCCGAAATCATTTGTTATGGGAGAGCTAAAGGGTCCTTAATTTCTAGAATTGGGTTAGAAAATTCTATTTCAATAGTTTGGGATTCATAAATTATAAATATCCAATATGCTACATGGGATTCCACCAGACCTTAGCAAATAAAGCTGTGATTGCTTTCCTGTACTAAAACACAAAACTTCATGTTTGTTTCTCATTGTTCCATTGCTTTGTTTTACATTTATTTCTAAGCATACGTATTTCCTCACTCAAATGCTTTTACTCTCTTTACTTTTCTAATGAGCAATTATTTTTAACTGATATATTTGTTTTTGTGGAAAGCATTTAAAATGAATGAAATCAGAGATTGAATAGCATTTATTAGATATAGTCATAACATTGAGAGCTTCAAATCACAAAGGTTTACTTAACTATATATTATGATACTTGAAAGTTCAGTCTCAAATAACATGTTATATTACTCTTCTTGATAATTTTATTTTGCTTTGTGTTTCTCACCTGTAGTCTCCAAACATCTTTGCACAGTAAATAATGGTGGTTGCAGCCATTTGTGCCTGTTAGCCCCTGGGAAGACCCACACATGTGCATGTCCCACAAATTTCTACCTCGCAGCTGACAACAGAACTTGTTTATCAAACTGCACAGCCAGTCAGGTGAGTTGAATTCTAGAATCATCTATTGTATTGTGTTTGCTGTTATTAAAGTCTGACCTGAATTTGCTTATGTACTTAAATAATTTAAAGAAAAATTGCTTTGTTACTATGTACAGTGAAATGAGTGATCAATCTAGACACTGCACATGGTCACCGAATCAGGAAAAAGCAATTTAATGCAAACATTTAAAATAAGATTTTCAGCATTAGAGAACAAATAGAGTCCAGTAAGGAAACAAAAAGAAAATAAAATCAGTTTTACCAAGAGTCACAGAGAACTATGACTTCATTCAATACTAGGTATGCAGAATTGAAGGATCAGAGGACATTTTACACAGGTCAAAAAATAATGGTGATGACAGAACAGTGTAGCAAAAATTGAGTTTAAATAATCAAGTTAGCTTCAGGATACCCAACCCTGTCTCAACTTCATAACCTACAAATACAGAGAAAGTGTAAATTGAATATATAATGATTAGCTTGAATGAATATATAATAAAATAATTTACTCTTGAAGCAGAAGCAGACACCCATAACTAAATACTATCTGGACTCCTGGAATCCAGTTACAGAGAGGGAGGAGTGATGAGCAAAGGGGTTAGACCAGGCTGGAGAATCCTACAGAATCAGCTGACTTGAACAAGGGGGAGCTCATGCATGCCAGTCTGATAGCTGAGAAACCAGCATAGGAATGAACCAGACTCCCTGAATGTGGGTGTTAGATAGGAGGACAAGGCAGTCTATGGGGCCTCTGGTAGTGGATCAGTATTTATCCCTTGTATATGAATGGATTTTGGAAACTCATCCTACATAGAGTGATATTTTCTCTTACTAGACACATGGTGGAGGGCCTAGGCCCTGCCCCAAATGATATGACAGACTGTGAAGACTCCCCATTGAAGGCCTCACCCTCCCTGGGGTGCAGAAAGGGGATGGGCTCTGGTTTGGTGGGGCTAATAGGGGAGGCCTGGAGTGAACTGTGATTGACATGTAAAACAACCTTGTTTCAATGTTTCAAATGTAAATAAAGAAAGAAAACTCCATCAAAATTTGCTTATTCTCAGTGAGGATATTCTGGGGGTGGGGGGAAGGAAGTCTTCTTAATGGTAGTTAATTGCATGGAGTTGACTTTATTACTTTGTATTGTATTATATTTTGTAAAGTAGTCATATGACATTAAAAATTGTACATTGGTACTCTGAAGCCAATATCTTGTTTGGTGTGAGATGAACTTGTTAAATAAGGCATGAACATTTCTTGAAACCAGTAAATTTATTCTTTTAAGTATATGCTTTGAATTTGCTCATTTTTGGCAAGTAGAGTGAATATTTTGGCCAAATATTTCATTTTCAATTGAACTCCTATGAAACAGAAGCCAGTACTAGCTCAGCTCAGCCCCACTCACCACACAGAAAGTCAGTGTTTTAAGAGATTAAGTACATTGGCTAAATGGCAATCAATCTGTGGCTACATCCCTGACTATAAATTCTTGGTGCCTACTTACTTTTAATTAAGACAATTTCTTTTTGTTTGTTTGTTTGTTTGTTTTTGTTTTTGTTTTTTTTGGTTTTGCTGTTTCTTTTACAATGGTTTGTGTAAGAACAACATTTAAAATTACCCTTTATAAAAGTCACAGACAAGACTCTATAACTTTTTTTGTCTTTAAAGACAGGGTCTCACTATGTCTTGGAACTCACTATGTAGCCCTGGCTGGCCTCAAACTCATAGAGATCTGCTTGCTTCTGCCTCTTGAGTACTGAGATTAAAGGTATGCACCACTATATTCAGCTTTCTGTCTGTTTTTATTTCAACCCCACTACCAACATTTTAGTATTAAAAAGGCTGGGTATTGGCTGGGTGGTGGTTGCAGCTGTGTTCATGGCAGCTGGTTTTGGGCCAACTGATCCTCTGACACGTGGGGAAGCACAGCTGTGTTCTCTGCCCACATCTGAACACATTATATGTATCCCAGGATTCATTTACTGGGATTTGAGAGCGCTCTTTCTTCCTCAGAGCCCCTGAGTAGTGATGCTGTGTTAGAGGCTGCTGTGTTTTCCAGCATGAGATCCCATCCTCTGACGGTCCTGAGAAGGGCAGTGGATTGGTCCTGGAGCTCTCATGAAAGGAAGGGTTGGTCCCTTTGGGTGGAGCATATGTGGTCCAAAACCTGGAGTTGGGGGTGGGGCAATCCCAGCGGTTTGAGGCAGGGCAATGTTCACCACTGCTGCAGGACCACTTGGGGGAAGGTTGAAGTAATTGGCAGATACCTCTTCTGCTGCAGGAGGAGGTAGAGCTCCAGGAAGCCCTGGTACAGGCTCTAGCTTGATCCCAGAGGCTGTAGTTCCATCCTTCTCCTTTTCTTTGCCTCTGGCTGCTTGGCATCTTCCCCATTTTATGTAGAGTCTGTGGCCATTCACGATGAGCTTATTAAAGGACTTCTCAGTATCCATCTCAGGAGCCTGCTTAATGGAGAACTGAATGAAGGCACACTGCTGCCTCTTTACAACAGTGATCGTGTGGATCTCTTCAAACTGGTAGAAATGCTTTCTGAGATCTGTTTCAATAATGGTGTCTCCAGGCCGCCCACATATAGAGTGGTGATGGTCTTATCCTCTGGTGGGTCTAGGCAAGGCATGGTTGAATCCCACTTTAGAAGCTTATCTGCTACAGGGTCATTAATTCCATAGTACTGGTCTTTGATATTCTGATCAGCAAGGGGGTCATCTGGATAGCTACGCTTCTTGTGTCTGTATGGACACTCCTCTCCTCTCTTACACTTTCCTTTCACCCAGAAGGAACAAATGTGAGGCCCATTCCTTTTGTAGTATGGTGTGGTCCGGGCCAATTTGAGCAGCATGTCACTGGTGGATGTAGCTTTTCCCAGCATGCCAACTGGTCATGTTCCATCAGAGTTAGAAATTTCTCCTTCCACATTTTGTGTATAATATTCTTTGTTGACATTTGATTTGGGCATGTCATCTTTAAATGACAACCCCGCATCACGAACTTGGATGGGTAGGCCATACGCTAGGTCTAATAAGCAGGTCTGACAAACATTCTTCAGTTTACTGCAGGTTTGGCACACTTCAGTCTTCTTGAAGCACATGCGGACCTCAGGGCACCAACGAAACACTGTGAATGGTCTGGCAAAGATTTTGCATTCTTTTCCATATTTCTCTTTGGTCATTCGTATATAAGGGTTTTCTCCAAGACAGGTCTGACACAGTATGGGGAAGTCGGCGTCCTTCCAGTTCTGCCTGTTTTAGGTGTTGGGACCGAGAGGTCGCCATTATCAGGAGTCCGGAGGCAGCACCGACATCCGATTCGGGGGACCTAGAACAATTATCTTAATCCATTTTCTGATGCTACAAAGTAAAGTTCCATAAACACGGATTTATAAAGGAACTAGATTTATTGCATAATTGTGGAGGCTCTGATATTTAAGATCCAAGTGCTATAGCTAGTAAGGCAAAAGATGATCAATCTAGATGGCATAGGGCAAGAACTCAAGATAGCCTTCACAATATTTATGCCTTAATGATCATATTTTCATGGCATATAAGGACACTGCAAAGTTTCTATGATATAGTTAAGTGTATAGCATGAATACATAACAATTTCAATTTTTACAGTACAGGTGGTTTAAATTTATATGGAGGTAAAACAACCAAAATAAACTAAAGCTAAATTTAAAAACAAAGTATACCTATTCTCAATAGTCAAACTTGGTTGGCCACAGAGAGAAACATTCATCATTCAGGAGGTAACCTTTGTCACCTTACCTAACATCCAATACATCAAATGACAATTATCATTCAAAGTTAGTATTAGAAGGGATATACAAAGAACAGAAACAATATTTTCAGAACATTGTTATAAGAACTAAATGGACATAGTTCTTCAGAAATAAGAGTAGTAGTTCAACCTCACCATCACTGAAGCTGGAATATATGAGTGTGTACTTGGTTAAAGATGCCTTGAGGAGAGCCTGGTGTCGATTTCAAACCAGAGGCCATAGATTTTGTTTGCTGTACAGAATGTATAAGTTTAAGCCACTATGAAAAGGTAACATCACCAACATTATTCATACAAGTAGAGTTTAAAGGAGAAATTAATGTATTTTGGTTTAAAATAAAATTTGTATTAGCACTGTCTATTGAAGCTTTCAAACCTCCATCTTATTGTGAGGTAATCCTTAGGCAATTTTTCCCAAGTGATCTTTGAATCATCAGTCTGTTGAGGTTTGACCCTGTGATCCCTGTGCTGATGCCAGAGAGACAAATGCTTGCCTGTAGTGTGCCTCGGCCTGTCACTGAAAGTAGAATAAATTAAAACATGATATCTCCTGCAATGAGATGCCAGCCTTGCTACAGCAGAAAAGAGAATGAAACTTTCAAAGCACTATAAGAAGGTAAGAAACAGTGTTTCTTCAAACCCCCAAAACATACCAATAAAATAAAACTTTAGTCACTACCAGAATATTGTTTATATGACAAGTTCTAACTCTGACACCACTGAAACATAACACTTGTAACTGTTAAAACCTCTCCAGGAGACATTACTATGAACTTGAAAGAATACCACACAAAAAATGAGCATATGCATGGTGTGTGTGTGTGTGTGTGTGTGTGTTTGTGTGTGTGTGTGTGTGTGTGGTGAGTGTACCTGTGTGTTTCTGTATGTAGGACAAACATATATGGATAGAGTCTATCTGACTCCAAAAATAAATAAGCAGCCAATGGCATTCATCATGCTGATCCTGTAGTTGTTTCTTCACAGTTCTCTCTGGTTTGTAAAAGAAATCCTCTACAAGGTACCCCTTTTGGAGAAAACACTGAATAAAAGAACACAATTTTTGGCAAGTTTGAAGTTTAAATAAAGCAAATAACCTAAGTAGATGGGACTCAAATCATTAAACAATTTGATAACAAAAATCAAGTTTTAAGGGATTACCTAGACATCTCATTCAATAAAATGCTTTTCTTTCAAGCAGGAGGGAC